AATCTTGTGAATAAGGGGGCTGGGGAATGATTACGGTGTTGTTTTTGGCCGAAAAATTACGAACAAGCAACGACGAGTGTACAATCACCGTGGCGGGTTGGCTGCCCTTGCTCATCTTTCACTGCCAGAACCACTGTGCATGCTGTTTTCGGCGAGTGCATTGGCTTGGGTGTGGGGGTTGAGCAAACCGGCCATCGGATGCCTGCTTCCACGTAGCCCCGCTGGATACGGGAATGACAGAATCACTTGTGGCTCTGTCATTCCCTAACTGAATGACATCCCAATGATGGCTTAATCCTAAGATGTGTATATTCGTGCCGAGAGGATGAATGACACCTTCGAGATACTAGGCGCCGTCTCGTCGTAGCATCGCCTTGTCACGGTAATGCGGAGCTCTGCCGTGATTGACCTTTTTTCCCTAGCAACTCGTGGAACTTTTATGGACAGAGTAAACTTAAAAATTCTTTCTGACGCTGAGTCTATAGAGGAGATGGATGTTGAGCTTACGACTCCAACTAACCTCCCTGTGAATTTAGATCAGGAGCAAGTTTACAGAGGAGATGGATGTCGAGTTCACGACTCCAACTGACCTCCTTGTGAATTTAATTCAGGAGCTAGTCTACAGAGGAGATGGATGTCGAGTTTACGACTCCAACTGACCTCCCTGTAAATTTAGTTCAGGAGCAAGAGCTTCTTAACTCCTCAACTCCTGATCCAACAACTGAACCTTAAAAAAAATATTTGGTGGTGAAGCCAGGAAACAACTGAGTCGTCTCCTCAAGAGCGGGGTACGTTATAAAACCGCCTTGCACCAAATTGCGGCGCACGCAAAATCTGTCTCAGGTGGGGGAACAAAACCCCCATGAGTAGGTTAGCAAACGTTTGAGTTCAAGTGATGATTCACCAAAACCAGAGGCGAAAAAGCCCTGCACGGGTGAATCTAAGGCATCGTCAGGTGTAGCTGACGTGCAAAAACCCTCATATGGGAAGGTTGTCGTGTGTATCAAAGTGGGAATCTTGCAACTTGACTATCCGACTACCTTATTAACAGAACATATACTTTGTGCTTGCCCCGCTGGGGATCGAATCAGGTTTTTAGAGTACGGTAGAGCCGTACTCTTACCATCTGACCTGAAAGACCACTCACCATACAAACTAATCGGCTTCGTTAAGAAGCTGGGTTTATTTGGTGAGTGAGAATAGGTGTGAGCCACAATAAACCCTTGCGGGTTGCGGTGGAGGGTCGAATAGACCCACTCACTTTGGACCTAACCCTAACCTAACAATGACCGTATGCCACTGTCAAGATTTCCAGTGTTCTTGAGAACTTGGTTCTATTTTTCACACAGCATTTGATGCAAAATCTTTGATCCATTTTCAAATCGCCGAACATGCAAAACACATCTAACTTTCATGCCTCCCACCAACAAACTAAACATGCTGAACAAGGCAAGTTTCGAATATAAACTGAAGCTTTATATTTAATGAATAAACACCCCAGGAACCTCCGCCTATGATTTTACGAGTTTTACGACCGTTTTATGACTTGGGCCCTCATTTTGTGCTATCGACAAATTATGAACGGACTATAATATTATGGTCCTAAAATTTTGACATATTGGCACATAGAGCTAGTTGTGACTCTATTATTCTTATATATTAATCTCACAAATATTTTGTAGCTCTCTCTGAATATAATAATAATAACTATCGAAATATTGGAAATATAGTGTGATAAGGGTACACATTTCTCGCTTGCTGCTTACCCTTATCAGCTTGCTTGGCCTTATCAGCGCGGTGTTATGTTTGTAAGATTTTTTTATTCATGTCAAACAAATTCGTTAACATATTTCAGTGTTCATTTTCTGAACCCAGATGTCACGCAGGTAGTTATAGTAGTCATTTTAGTTGTTTCCTTGGAATGTTAGATCTGAACTGCCATTAACTGAAATCACAGATATGCTCCTGTTGGTGACTCTGTGCATATGTGTTGTTTCCCGTTTTCAGTAACCAGGTATTACCTGACTCTACACTTGCCTGCACCATGTTGATGAGGCCATACATACATACATGATAAGTAAAAATTTTTTATTCAGATTCACTATCGCTAACAATTTTACGTTTGTTTATTTTCAATTGTGACTTCTTTCCCTTTTGTACTTCTGACGAGTTCTCACCACCAAAGTCATACTTGACCTTGAGCCTCTCACGTATCAACAAACCCTTTATGAGCTTTCTCCAATTGCCATAAACTCTTTTATCGATTTTTTCGGCTTCCCTCTTTTCCATTTCCTCTTGTTCCTTGGAAAGTATTGTTCGGATTAAGACAAAACTAGGAAATGACTCAATAAAATTCTTACCAATTCCCATGCAGCTACCACCTTGTCTTCGAATTCTTTACAGACTATGAATCCATCATAGGTTGGATGGCTCCAACCTCCATGAAAATCAAAACCAACGATAGCACTTGCACAATCAATATTCATCTTTTTGCAGACTTTGTTGAGGCCGGGAACTGAAATGAAAAGTAAAGGCATTTAATGGATTGGACCATTAAGGACAAATGCTCTTATAATTTTCTCTTCTACACTTGAGCGACTGCGATAAAAATTAATGTCAATAGGTCAAGTTGAAGACGAGAAGAAGATTCATTTTATAAAATTCAAAGAAACACATTCACTGTGTAAAATAATTAAGGACTCTACTCCTGTGCGGGGCATGTTTATTTTTTTAAATAAGGTGTTTGGGGCTGTATGCTATTCTAATGTTTTTTTAATCTGGTCCTGACGATCTATTCCGCCCATGTATTTATTGTATTCCACAAATAGTAAAGGCTTCTGTTTAGCAACTCCTCTTATATTAGTTATCTCTACCATTTGGTTTTCAAATTCTGTGGATATGTAGGTAACATCTCTTCTATCCTTCCACTTTCCGATCATTATACCATCTGAATACTGGGCTTTGATTCCCCAACTTTCAGTTTACTTTTCAAAATTTCAACAGGAACACCTTTCCTGTCACTGCGTAGAGTTCCAGTACAGTATGTTTTAAGGTTTATCAAGGTTCTAGCTAATTGACAGCTATTGTAATAATTATCCATATAAATAGAATGTCCTTTGTTGAGGTAATCTTTTGCGACGTGCTGAACAACTTTTTGTGCATGGCCTTTACCGCCCATCTCATCCAATTGGCCGGTGTAAACTGCCAAATTCAGTATTAGCCCATTCGGCACTGTCAAAATAAACAGTTTCAGTCCATATTTATGTCGCTTATATTTGCGATGTACTGCCGGAACAATAGTCTACCTCGCCACAAAACCATAGATTCCTCCAAGAGAGGTTTTTTCTGGGATAATATAGTTCCTTCATTTTTTCATTGAAACAATTAATAAATGGTCTAATTTTATACAGACGGTCGTTTGATTCGGGTTGATTTGGATCCGGATTCGTAGAAAAATGCAAACTCCTGAGTATCATCAAAAATCTATCCCGGCTGTGATCCCAAAAATATTTGAAACTGAATAGCCAACTGGTCCTCCAATAGTCTTGGAGTTTGTTCAGTTTCACATTGCCCATATGATACACCAAACCAATAAACTTCAGGAGCTCTTCTTCTTTTAGATCTTTCCAATCAGTTATCCTTGACCTTTCGTTACCACCTCTTGACAAAAACAAGTTTTCTGCATACTTATCCGTTTCTATTATGATATTTTCAAGAAACCCATTATCAACAAAAAGTCTAAAATAATCGTAGGGTTTCGCCTCTGTCGGAAGATCAACAAGCATTCGATTGGTTTCAGTAAAAGGAAAATGTTTCATACCGGAACAAATATCTCGCCAATATTCTTTGTCAGTATTGAATGTTACCTGGTGTTCTTGGTCGATTATTTCTTCTGCCTCATTATCTATAGCAAACAGAAAACACCTTTATACAGAAAACAAAACAATAAAAATAAACGAAAAACTTTTCCCCTTCACTTTCTGACTCAAGGTCATCATCAGAACTTAGCTCAAAAGTTTCATCTTCGTCATCTGAACAGTCCACTAACCGTAACATTTCATCAACTGTTAGCTTATTTGAATCTCTTATTGTCACTTTAGGTCTTTTAACACCTGAAGGACCTGCCAGATTATTGTCTACTTCACTAATATTTTAATAGGCTGTAGAAAGTTTTAAAATTCACGAAATTACGAACCACCCCGAAAATCTTCTTGAACAATACTATTTAAATGTGCGAACTGAAATACAACCACCTCTGTTCATGCGGACTGAATACTAACACATTTATTGAGAGAAACACATGCCATAAGGCGTCACTCGCACAAAGTAGAATGACCAGATGCCGCCAATTGGCGTCATTCGCAGTTTTGTAGTATTGAAACGTCTTTATATATACAAATTTGTTTTATTTTAAAAACGTTTTCTTTAGAAACATTTGTATGAAGCTGACAATTGGGAAAATGTTAAGAAAATCAATCACTTATTTCATCCAAAACCTTGTTTAGCACAAGACATGTCAATCACAATAAATTAGTAACATTACAAAAAATTATATGGTGAAAAAACTCACAATTTTACTACTCAATATACAGATTACAAAAGTATCTGCAGTGTTGTCTCACTTTGATTTATTCTGGCAGTTCATTATATACATTTGTACATAGGGAAGTCGATCCCTTCGACACCAGATCTCTAGTCAAGGATAGATCCAGCTGTTAGATCTAATTTGATGTGAGTGCACATCATGATATTTCAAAAGTGTGTTTCTTGTTTTGTGAATATGACATAGAGACAATCTAATATGAGGACATTCTATTCTGCAAATGGAAGTTGGCGGAAGGATCTTTCTGAAGCTCTCATTGGTCTTTTTTGTGCTAGACTTTATGCTGCAATACATGAATATAAACTGAATTTCTGCGACAGTGCCTGACCATGCAGTACCAGTACTGATGCAGTGGGCTTTTCCTCTTCCTTTTAGCCATTCATTTTGGATGCTGCCTCGATCTGTCGACGGTACATGGCCCACAATGAGTGGTCGACAACAGTTTTTACTTTATCATGTCCCTGATGTTGGAGTGAAATGGGATGGCTGGCTATGTGGGTATAATCTAGTTGGTCTTTTAGTTAGCTCACCTTTTTGCCCAGTTTCTTATTTTCTTCTCATTGACACCGCTCTTTAATCTCCCCCAATTCTTCTTCAAAATATTTCACTTGATCACTGAAACTCTGCAGTTTACCTAAGACTTCACTTTGAACTTCTTTTTCTCTCTTCAAATATTTCACCTTCGACTTTTTCGATTTTCATCTTCTGGAAAATTCTTTGACTCCCACTCATTTTCATAAAAAGTAAATTTTTTTGCTTTTCCAAATACTGATGTCTTTCTAGTTGTTTGAACAACATTTCTCGGTCTTCTTTCCATTCCATTTTTCTTTTTATTTCTTATTCTTCTGGCAATGCAACAATGCTTTTTCTTCAGTTTTTCTTTTACATTATTGTTCTAGCTGTTTCAACAATGTTCCATGGCGTTCAAGTACATTTTCAAGTACATGCTCGATTGTCATGGGCTTTTGGCGGTCTAATTGATAAAAAATGTTTAATTTGTTGCAAATTTAATGGACCACACCATATATTAGTTCATAAAAAATTACCAAAGCTGAAAAACATTCATGAATTTGAGAATTTACTAAGTGTAATATAAATTGAATGATATTCACATATACAAGAAGAAGGAAGACCTTCCTCTTGAAGATGATCACTTGGTGATCGAAACACGTGTCGAGGTTTTAAAATAACGGTTTGGTGTTGGGAAAAAACTCCAGTAATAAACATTTCCTTTGGTAAAAGAGTAATGAGAAATCATTTACGTCTCATTTGCCATCTGAGATGATGGCAAAGCGTCGAACTTTGAAGACAACAAATTTGATGACTCATTTCAGAGGAAATCTTTACAAATTCTACATTCAGAGGCCCATCAAAGAAATATCGTCCTATGGCCTGATCCCCAGTCATGCCCCCCCCCCCCCAAACATTTATCGACCATCTGTTTTGGTTATTGACTTCTTCCATTAAACGGGGATTCTCTATTGAGTATCTTGTCTATTTACCATGTCTTTACTTTTGATTGTGGATTCGTTAAAAAAAACGTATCACCAAGACCAGAATACTTTCTAAATTTCATCAAGCTTTATATAACATAAAAATTATTTGTTGCTATTTTATATGGATCTTATGTCAATTTCTTTTTTTTTTTCAATTTGCTTAGTTAAGAGGACTCAGACCAACGGTAAGTTATGTATATAAACTGTTTTGTAGTTTTTATAGTCCGTCATTTTTGCTTCAAAAGCAATGCTTTCAAATATTTCCAAGCCTACTTGTAAATCGGAAATGTTTTTTGATAGGACAGAATTGCTATTGGCTAATTTCGCATCTTCTCATTTTATAAAACAATTTGTTTGCATGATTGTAGTCGAATAATAATAAAATTCAGTTGCAACACTACTTATATTCCAGAAAACAATTTCTACATGGAAAAAATGGTCCATGGGAGATGCTGGACCTGGAGGCAGAATATCTGGTTCAGTATGTGGCCTAGATCCAAAGTGAGTTTATATTTTTGATTTTTTATTTCAGAATAATTGGTATTTTGAAAATCTTGACCATCTTAAAAAAAAATTCGTTTAGACCTGACTGATGAGTACAAATAAATTACTTTTTCATTTCTTAAGTACTGAACCAAACATAAATGTAGTTTACACATATTATTGTATTATTCATTTAAAATATTTACACGTGATTAGAATATTAATAAAACTTTTCTTGAAAAACAACCTGAGGTTATTAAACATTCATTTTCGACTCATCGGTGACATTGAATTTGAATTGAATCATCACTAATCTTACAGAACTTTTTTAAAACTTATGAAATGCAAAGAAAATAATAACTTATATTTCTTTTTTGACACCTAACCTAAATTACCCCCAACAGTGGGTAATTTCCAATCGTAAAATATAGGCATCATTAGATATCAAACAAATTGTAAAAACCATGATAGTAGAAAAAGTACAACTTCAACAACAGTTAAAAGATAAGTTCAAGCTCAACTCAGCATTCCTTTCCAATGGTGGACGAGNGGCTTCTCTAATCTCCATTTCATTTCCTGATGATGTTAACTTAGTCACGCGTCAATAAAAGTATCACAGTTCTGGTGTTGTAACGTTTTTCTCATCAACTCTCTACCTTAGATTAAACACGTTACAATTCGACTATTAATAACTGAGATAAGGCTTCGCGCTTCGTTTCGAGGGCCACCATGTTTGTTTTTTTTTGCCAATACGAATAGTTTCTACCATACCGGCAAGCAGCCACCCCCACCCTACACAATCACATGCTCTGCACGTGACTAACGATTGTGCCTTTTTGGCATGTCGTCATCTTTGTTTTTTCTTTGTCAATAAATTCTGCAGATTCTCTTCCCCTTTCATTTCATGGTGCGAAGATTATGTTATTTTATAATTTGCTACTACTGTTAATATAATACCGGATATTCCATAATTTCTCAATTTAAGCAGGAGTCTTTTCCTATTTACTGTCTCAAAGGCTCTTTTCATGAAATAATTCAAAGAAACTGTGAAAGCATCATAATGGCACAGATGATGAGAAAACAAATTAAAAGCACTAGAGTTGGTAGGAACTCAAGAAATATATTTTTTGTTTATATAGGTTTTGTGATGCTCCTGCAAGTGTACATCCTTATGAATGGCCTGACGATATTACTAAATGGCCGATATGTCGCAAAACAAATACCCAGTTCTCTATCCAGAAAAATTTACCCAAAGACAAGTTGGCAGAACATATGGTATGTGAGGTTATTGGACATCCCTGCTGCATGGGAATTCATGGACAATGCAAAATTGTTACCAAAGAATATTGTGATTTCGTACGAGGGACTTTTCATGAAGAAGCATCACTTTGCTCGCAAGTAAGTAAAATTTAGTAACTGTATTTCTTTCTTGTATAGGAATTCGATACAAAAACATAAATATGCCGAAAAATTTAAACCTTATCCAAAAGTTGCGAACATTCGAGTATCAAAACGGTAGTAAAAGCTGTATAGTAATGAAGCAAAATTTCGAGTTTGCTTTCTCATTTTTTTCATAAATAATTCATTCTGCCATTCACTGCAGGGTTGTAGGTGTGGTTATACCTTGGTAATTGATCTCCTGAGCTTGAAAAATACTGAACTATCTGCAATTTGTTGCCGCTAAGAATCCCAAAAGCCTGTTGTTGTTCAGAAGGAAGGCGAGCAAAATATCTATCTCAATTTTACGTTCATCATCATCACTTTGTCCGGATTTCGTTGGTTATTTGTTATTTATTTTTCAGGTTTCTTGCTTGAATGATGTATGTGGAATGATACCGTTCTATTTTCCTGACGTACCTGACCAGTTCTATAGATTATGGACATCACTATTTCTGCATGCTGGTATTCTACAATTATTCATAACTGTTCTGATCCAATATTTCTTGATGAGAGACCTGGAGAAATTGACTGGTAGTTTGAGGATTGGTATCATCTACATTGGATCTGGTGTGGCAGGAAATTTAGCAAGCGCCATATTTGTACCCTATCGAGCTGACGTAAGTTGTTTTTATCTTCGGTACAACTTTGTTTTATTTTCAATCCACAAGCAATACTTGATCTAGGCTAACAGTGTTTCTTATTGATGAAATACCTTTTGTACTAATTTTTTATTCGAATCTTTTGGAGTTAATTATGTTGAAAAATATTCAATTATAAGATATGAGAATCATTTTGAAGTGCCGTAGAAATACCCCTATTACTTTCATGCTTAATGTTTTAAATTGGCAATCCATTTCCCAAAGACTATTATATTTCACAATGATTTTCGTATACAAAATATTGAACAATTCAGGAATGGACGAGGTACTAACCAACTGCATATCCGAAATTTGCCCGATTCCTCTGAATAAGGAAGAAAAACTTTCTTATTAGTCAGTGCTTGAAGACCGGCTGTAAACAAATCTAAAGAAATTAACTTTAAATGTTCAAGCCAGTCTCGTATATACCTACACAGAAAAATTATTATTATTATACTTAATTTTCAATTGTTATTTCAGGTTGGACCAGCAGGATCACAATTTGGCTTATTGGCATGTCTCATAGTAGAAGTCTTGAATGCGTGGCCAATGTTGAAACATCCACACCAAGCTTTGTGTAAACTTCTTTCTATAACTTCCGCCCTCTTCCTTGTTGGTCTTTTACCTTGGGTCGACAACTATGCCCATTTATTTGGTTTTGTTTTTGGATTTTTACTTTCTTATGCCTTCTTACCTTTTATATCATTTGGTAATTATGACAGACACAAGAAAATATTTTTAATTTGGGTCTGCCTTGCTGCAGCTTGGATTTTATTTATTTGTTTAGTTCTCTTGTTTTATATAATTCCTGTTTATGATTGCAAAGTTTGTTCGTACTTCAACTGTCTACCAATAACTAGAGATTTTTGTGCATCCCAAAATATCAATTTTAAAAAAGAGGAGCCTATAGTATGACAAAAAATTATACGGTTGTTAACCGTACTTTTCATTTTCAATTCACATTATTTGGTTTTTATTTCACAGAAATAAAGAACTTTATTATATTTTTACATTAATTTATAATTTTACCTCTCCTCCTACCGAAATCCCAACTCATCAAAAACCTAAGTATAAAGTGAGACGGTGTAATAGTGTGCTAATATTTTGTGAAAATGTGGTGTGTACTCATAATTCATCATCATTAATTATGCGATAAAAACATTGGATATGACTTTTGAGAGGAACGTTCTTCGTGAAATTTTTTTGAAAAGAAGTGTTTCATTATAAATCCATACTTTTAAAAACATGTGATAATGACGATATCTCGATTATATATTTAAGACACTCATTTATATACGAATATGCAAAAATATTTGTTTTTTTGCAACGAAAAAACTGCTGCAATGAACTTTTTTTGCTGATTAATAATTGCTTAGTTCAATTACCCTGAAAGATATTAATATTTATAGCTTTAAAGTCTGTTTATTGTATCAAATGTTTTTGACAATTCAATAGAATATTGAAACATTCAAAAATTCATGAAGTTGCAGTGAGAATTAATAAGACTTGTAGTTTATATACTTTATATAAAAATATTGGTTGAATTGTATCTATAATTCTTTCAGTGAAGAAAACGTGGAATTCTTCGATACTCTCAATTTTGTATTGTATTGTCATTTATTTTGATAGGCATTCTCTCGAAATCATGTATATTTAACATACTCACAATAGTCTCATTTCTGTGGTAAATTTAATATTAACTGAAAATTATCAAAATATTTTCAATATATAGATATGTATAAAATAAGCATGAATGAATACCAATCTGGTCACAATGTATATATATATATGATAAATTAAGGTATGGTGTTTTTCATTTGAATGTGAAAATATTGATTTTTGTATTATAACTGAATTACTAATCTTCTCAGTGAATTTTATTTGTCTGAATGCATAAAAATCACACTCATTCTAACAATAATATTTTTGAAAGTTACAATTTTTCTTGTTTTTTTTTTCAATCCT